GAGCTGGATTTCTACGCTCTCAGTTTGATCGTTATTTTGCCGCACTATCCTTTGAACTTACTGTCGTAAGCCAGGATTGATTCGATCATGGAAACGTAAATACTTTTATTCATTAGGCCGAGACCCATAAGGGTGCTTTCAACTTGAACAAGTTGGCACCGTGTCTACCCTGTTGGTAGTATTGATGGATGTCCCTTGTGCCCTGGCGATGTCTCCATTGTGGTGGGTACGAAGACGTCTGACCAGAAAAACTAGGCCTGGAAAACGGTGTTTCAAAGAGAACGGGCCATGACACACTCAAGGCAGTTTACTTCACCGCAAACGCGATTCCACTAACTGTCACCGATGTAAGTGCCACGAAGATAAGCCCGCCTTTTCGGTATTTCAAGCCTTCCGACATTGAGATACCTAGTATGAAATGTATTTTGGCTCAATATTTTGTACCTTGACAAGATTCGACGCCAGAAATCGGGATACTGATTTCTTGAGTGTGTGACTTGATAGGACTCAAGAATCTCAGTAAGTAATCTTGGATTTAGACGGGAGGGTGACTAGAAGTACGCAGAAGGTATGCCACAGCATGCAGTTACCACGACTCAAAGTCTTAAAAACACAGTTTGCGTAGAAAAAGAAGTAAAAGCAGTATACATTAGCACCAGCAGTACTGCATACTTCCGCATAATTTACAGGAAAAGGCCTGTGAACAAATTTAGTCACTTGAATAACGTCAAGAAATTTCAGAAAACAACGAAGCGCAACCAACCTGGACTTTGGACAGTTTGGAATCCACAACGCCTTCATCGCCCTTGGCAGAGACCTGGTCTAACTGACCCTGCACCTTCCTTCTCTTCTCCTTCATAGTCATGGCGAGGTAAATGTCATCAAAGGGATCATCTGGTTCAGGAGCGTCTATCGAGGGCACCTGGTAGATGGGTTTGATACTGGCGGCATCAGAGGCAGGAGCAGGTAAACCGGGAAAGAAGGGGAGCAGATGGGAGGCGACAACAGCAACCGCCGGAATCGACAGATTGAAAGCAGGCGCACCCTCCTCCTCCGCTGCCGCCGACGCAATAGGAATGTCAAGGGCAGCCGGACTTGTCCTGCTTTCAGCACCGGTGCTCTTGGCGGAGAGGAAATTCTCGGCGAACAGTTTATCGGCGGAAGCGAAGGAGTCATAGATGGTCCTGACACTGCTCCATGTGTTGCCCTCGAGACTACTACAACGGCAACAGGGAAGCATACAACGCCTATTATCTCAGGCACTCTGTTGTGAGCATCAATAGGCGTGTTCTGATGCAAAATAACCGCCACTTTTGATGGTTGGCGTAGCATGCAGAACGCGTCAGAATGTCACTGCGTGACCCAAAAACATGGTTTTACCGGCCCACTGAAAGTATATGCAGAAGAAATTTCAGACGGCCAGAGAAGCAGAAACTAGGCTGTATCAGTATGGGAATGGC